TATGTATGTATATGAGATATATAATTTTATATATGTATATCTGTATATGTCTCAATAAAAGCTTTAAATTTAGTAAAGGTATACACTTATCAAATTTAATCAATATATGTATATACGTAAAGGTTTGGCAAAAATATCACCTAAAGAATGTCTATTATTTTTAGTAAACGTATTTATTTACTAGACAATACATATATTTGCTACAATTCCTTAATAAAAGCATAATATTGCGAGCCATTTGTCATAGTAAACGTATACATTTTAGTAAATACATATATTGCTAATAAATAAATATCTATATTTACTAAATTTTACATCTTTACTATGCATATAAAATGTCATTTAATTGATAATTAACCGTATTTAATAAAATTTTGTTAATGAATACACTTTATATAAAATAACAATTAAATCAACATAAAACAATAAAATAAAATAAGATATACATATATGATATTATGCAAAAGACTTATATAAAATAATAGTAGGTAAGACATATTTGGCACTGAAAAGTTATACATATGTATATGTTATATATATATAAATTATTTATAACACAATAATGAAAGCCGCGCGGGTGGAAAAGGCAGATGCGCCTGTCCAAAAAGGAGACTAGCCTCTTCGCATTGGTCCAACTGTGGTTTCCATGGACGCAAATAATCGATCTGTTCGCCGCTGACGTTTGTCTCTTCCACAGAGCATGCTCCAATGAAACCAATGGTTTTTCTCAGTCGAGTCATTGCGTAATAATACATTATAATATACACATATATTATATGCATTATACAAAATGTGTAACAAAGTAATTTTAGTAACTTAAATTTGAATTTTTTAAGGTAGATAAAATTAACAACCAGCAAAATTATAAATTAAAATTTTAATTATTGAATATGAAAAGAAATATGTTAACATTGGTCGATATTTTAATTCTTTATAACAACTAATAATATTTTTAACAACACAGAATACGTTGATAATTAATACTATTTATACTATTTTTTTATTATAATTTCTTCGAATACATATATAACATGCAATATACAATATAATATATTATACAAATAACGAAATATTAATTTACTGTCATATTATTTACATTAATTAGTAATTTCGTTATTGATATACTCGTCGGTGCATTCGTTTAATTGCGCGGGTATAGGCGCTATCTTGTATACCAGATTACATTATTATTCTTCAACCATATATATATTTGTGTAACGCTTTGGCTCGGTGTTATGTGAAATTTATTCGTAATTTAATGTTGCCTCGTAAAACCCAGCTGTGCCGGACGATCGGATGCGCCGACCGATTTTGTTCCTATAGCTAGCTGTCAGATCGCTCAGGTAGTCTGACTCCGTATTACGTTACCCGCTTGCACTCGCTCGATTGCGCTCGCTCGCCCTGCCGGCTGGACGTCACCTGACTTTAACTTTGTTTCGAATTAATCGAACTCGAGGCATCCGTGGAGAAATGCACTCGTTTCGCGCGAACGGTATTCATTAAGTAAAGTTGATTGCCGTCGCGTATCACGAGCACTGAATCAGTTAGACGTAGAAACATACTCGAGTAGAATAAATTCTGTTGAATTGATTTTATAGGGCGAACGTGTAAAGAATATAACTTCGGCAATAATTTTTTAATAAATTTATGAATCCAATTCATCCAATTAACTCTTACAAATTAATATTGATTATTATAGCTATTTATAATAGCCGTAATAATCGATATTAATTTGTAAAAATTGAATGAATTGGATCTATGAATTTATTAAAGAACTATCGCCAAAGTTAAATCCGTTAGAGATAAATTGTTCCTTTTATCGATTAATCTTGAAGCCAATTTAAAAGAAATTTGTTTTTAATGATCATATAATGTAATCAGTATTAGTGTAATCAATATTAGATATTACAGGATATGTGCAAGCACTGCTAAGTTTTTTTTAACCCCTTGTTGCCCTTTTTGATATACCTATAACTTTTCTCTATACCTATATCTGTGTAACTTCGTGCCGTCGTACTTATGCTTTAGCGAACTGCTTTGCCGATTCTACTCATTAACTATACGTTGCACCGCCTGCAACGAAGTGCACGATTAAATTACTCCCCCGCGAGTCGTCAACAACGAGAACTTGGCTCGTTAATGCGGTCGGAAACGTAGACCAAGTTCCAAGTTCTCCAACACCCTTATATGGATTAAGTAACGCTTCATAGGTGTATCGACTTGGACGGACAGTACTGTGCAACGCGATGATTACATTGATTACAACAGTATGCTTTTCGTAAACGACAGAGCGTACACGCGATAATGTGTGCGAATGCACGTGCAATATATTTAATTAGGAATATAAGCAGACGAATAGAAAACATATAATTACAAAAAAAAATTACATGTCATATTAAAATAATTAAGAAAATTTATGTATTAAAACTTTCAGTCTTTTCTGTCCGTGAGAAATTATGATTGCTTTATACTTTCACGATTGCAAATATGCTTGTATATTTATGTCGTACTTATTGCATTGAAAATATCTCCTCATATCATGAAAATTTACGTTCTGAAATATCGATCGTAATCTGTTTCACAATGTGACGTGTACATGAAAGGTGATGACAAAATACTTTTTTGATTATAAAAACCTAAAATTTTCCTGAGAAAAGAATTATCACACAAATTATATATATCTAAAGTTGACATGAACAGCATCTATACTACACAAAAATTATTTTCTACTTTTAAAAACTCACTAAAACTACTTTCTCCTCGCAAGAACGCTATATCGGTAAGAACAACATTTTATATTGTGATTTAATAAATTCATTTAATTTAAGTCATGCTGAAAATACAAAGATTCGATTAACTTTTGTGCATTTCGAAGATGCATGCTTGCGACAATAACGAGACAAAGTTGTGGCATCCATTTCGCTCAATTTTCGATCAATGGAGAACAGTGAGGAACGAATCCCAACGAAGTTGGATAGAAGTTCGTGTACCGCGCGATCATCCAAACAGGAGCCGAACCAGGCCACTTCCACCTCTCAATGCCCGGTAAATAATAAATATGAATACATAAAGAGCAATCTTCATCAATCAAGGTAAAAGAAGGTTCTCATACGATAATAATCACAGTACAAATTCGTGAATTTACAAATTATAAATTGCAATTATAACTTATTAATTATTAGTTGTAATTAAAAGTAAATGTAACAATAATACATAATAAAAGTTAATAGCAAATAAATGTAACTGCCTGTATATATAGAATCAATTTTGGAGTTCATTGCAACCGCCCACTTCCGACTATAACACGCAAGATGGCGATGAATTTGCAAAGGAGGAATCTAATGAACATCTCGAGACTTTGAAATTCGTGTTTCCAAAGAAGGTCAAGGCTCGTGGAAGAAGAAAAGCGAACGCCAACAAGCGTAGAGTCACGTTCGCTGATCATTAAACTCGTTCGCATGACGAGTATTACGTTACATTACATTAAAAATTGCAGTAAATGCAAATATTGTATTACACACATTCAACCGACTCCCGATCAGATTTTTTTCTGCATAATAAGATTTTTCGATTTCAAAGGCGCGAGTACAGATGATGCGATTTTATTGTTAAAAAATTCTGTAACCGATATATTAACGATACTCTCGATCATTGAACGAAAGATATTGTCACACACACAGTGTCCTTGTTTATGACAATAATAATATTTTATATTATTTATATTCGACTTGTCCAATAATGTCGTTTAGAAAATGCGATTTTCTCAAATTTTTCGATTTGCAATATTTTATTATCAAACGTTTAAATATTTACGTAGCCAATCGACCGTCGATTGTTGAATGCAATGTCATTTCTAGAACAATATGTTGAAAACTTCAAATCGTTTTTGACACTTATAACAAAATTCTCTGTATTATTCCAAACTTTCAAAATTCTCAATATATATAGATTGAAATTTAAATTAATTTAATTAAATATTACATGAATAAAAAAAAATATGAATGGATTCAGGATATGGGCATTGCATAATCTATCATATATTCTGCCTACTAAATCCTTGCAGGTATTCCACAAAATTAACCTCTCTTCAATTAGTAAAAAATTAATAATTTTATAAATAAGTTATAAATAAGGTGACAAGAAGATATTAAGTCTTATAATAACATTTCTAAAAAGTTTCGATAATTTGTACTTAATTTTTTTAAATAAATTGTATATTGAAAATAATATGTAAAAATACATAAAAAAATCTGATCAAAACTAATCTACGAAGAAGAAAAATACATAAAGATAGCAAAATAAATAATAAATATTAATATAAAATATAAATACATAAAGAACTAAAATTATTTTAAATAGAAAAATATTCAATTGTGTTTATAAATTGAATAATATTTTTCTTTATGACACACAAATTAGTATGAAACGCACGCGCCCACGAATAAATTTAAGCGTTGTCTTTCAATTTTCCTCAACTCCTCTCGCATGCAAGAGAATGATTGTGAGAGCAGAAGAATTAATTTAACAACAGTTTCCAATAATCTGAAACCTATCTTCACAACATGGATGGATTTATCTGAAATCACTATGACATCCTTCAGTTCTCGATCACCCATATATTTTTTGTCTTCGCCTCTCAAAGTGAATACGGAAATAACGCGTCCAAAGTCATTGAAACCTCTCATTAAGTATGAAGAGTTATTAGATGGAAATCCAGTATCTAGAAACGAATATTACAAAAGGCTTTCAAACATTCAGGCTAATGATTTTGATTTTATGTATAACGACAATACTGTAATAGAATCTGGTAATGTCCACTGCGATGACTGCCGTTCAGAAATAATGTTCACTTTTCAAGAACCCAAAATTAATCATACAATCGAGCAAGAGTCAACTGATGATTTATTGATTTGTACCACTGGGAAAAATTTCGATTCTTTATCTTCCGCAAAGTTGGAATTAGAAACACTAGAAATCAAGCAGCAAGAGTCACGAGATCAGTTCAAATTACAGGATAATCAATGTTCACGAAAATATGACTTGTCGCAATCTCCAGAAGTTCGGAATTACACGCAGAAAGATCTTTCGAGCACAACGAAGCAACAGATTCAGTTTTCGCACACTTCTCGATGCGTTTTGCAAACGCCTACAATCTCATATTTATTTGAAAATTTGAGAACATCGTCTCGATTTGGTAACTTGACCTACTCCAGAAGTTTGGGAAATCAAGAATTTCGAAAGACTTCGTTGTGTCTACCTTCTGTACCGTGTCGTGCTTTCTCCTCAAAAAGTTGGACCGTGATTCAGCAATCTATTCGAGAGTTTGAAAACGTGAAGAAGGATCAGAGTGCGAATACATCGATTATTCGTTTGAGAAACACGCGATCGCATCCAGGTGTCTTGAAGTCCTAGTTATAATAATTCTTAACTTTTTAAATTTATAGCTTAAAGCTTCTGTCTATTCGTTACAGTCATCTTGGATCATGACAAAGCGAGAAAAATATACTGTATTAAAATGTGAGTATTTTTTAATAAAACAACATTTTTAATAGAATAGAGTTGTAAAATATACCTTTGTATTCTGATAATCAATAAATAACCATATATTTCAAATTAAATTATACCTAACCAAAAAACAAAGCATAAGCTGTATTACAGCTATCAAATTGAGATAAATATGATTTTATTATTTCAGAATAAAAGAAGAGTTTTTGCGATATTTTACAATACTCTATGAAACACAAATATTGTTTTATTTAAAAATATTTCTATATTTATTTTAATATAGTTAAAAAAGTTTTATTTTGAACGTTCCTATTTTAATTTATTTTAAAATTTTCATTATGTTGCTTCGCTTCTGACATTATCGGAGATAATGATTGTGACTAAAGATTGTAACGAATGGACAAGAGCCTTAAATAATCCTCAATTTAATTCTTCATTGACACAGAGGTGATTTTTTTGCTTTTTTATACTGGGTGACCCGGAGCAATGTTTAAACAACTGATATTCTTATTATTGGAAAAAATCCAATCAATATGAAAAAAATTATAAGTTAATTTCAAGGTCTGTAGAAAACATTCAGATAGATTGAAATTTTATTACAGTTTTTGTGAAAAAAAAATCTTGAGTTCAATGAATAGAGAAAAATCTTTAAAAAATTGTAATTTTTAAAAAATTTAATATTAAAAGTTAAAAATTTACAGAATTGTTATTCAGATATGATACTTTGAAAAAAAAATTAGTTTGTAAGTTGATTTTGGATAAAACGTATTTATTTTGCATATTAAATGTAGGCTATTTTGGGAATTGAAAAAACAGAGATGTTTTTATAAACATTGTATTTTTGTTCTACAAAATAAAAGAAAATTGAGTTTCAGAGAATTAAAATAATTTTGTGGGGGGTTCACACCACAGTATATATCAACGAAGAGTTAATATACATACATATGTGCATACAGTAATTCAATGGAAAGCGTTTTATAGTTATAGTTTTCAACTATAGTAATATTAATTAAGTAATACTAACGATTGATATTTAATATGAGACTGAAAATCGCAGATCGTCTTTCTCTGATGAGACTGCAATCGTTTTCCTGCACTTCAAAGTCGAAAAAATCCGCCGATCCTTCCGACACGAGCAACCGCTGTCAGAATGAAAGTAAAAAGTCTCAAGATGACGTGGATGAGAAACAACAAAAGAGAAAACCTAAGTACATGTGTTCTGAACTGAACGAACGAAATCCATGCACTGGGAAGCAGAAGAATCGATGTACTAAGAATCGTCGGAACAAGAATAAAGCACGAGTCTCATCAAAGGATCGCGCACAGCAATCGAGAGATTCTACTTGTAGTAATTCACAGAAACAAGATCTTGACAGATGTAATAAAAGTAACGCAGATCAACATAATCATTGTTATAATAGTAATAATTCTCGTTAAGAAATATTAAAATTTAATTTAATATTCACGTGATACTTCATGAAACATCTGAAATTGATGTATCTCATATATTCAGAATAGTAGGTCAAAATTATTATTGTTATTGTCATCATTATATTAATTTAACATTAGCTGCCATTATTATGATTTAGTATTTAGCTTTAGCATATCTTAATGAATTCTACGTTTATTGATTTATTCATTCTCTAATTTTTCCTGTTTCCTTTTCCATATATTGTACGTTTTTATATCCTTTCTTCACTAATCTATTAATTTATTTTGGCATTTATCTCTATTTTTTTACTATACGTAATTTTTTATTTTAATATCTTAATCAGGGCGGCAATCAAAATTAAATACGCAACGTTACGATTGCGAAAAACCTGATGAACCACCTAAAACCTGTCAAGATTCCTTGAAAAAAACGGATGATTTTGAATCAAATTGCAACAAGCGTGTAAAGTGCGACATTAGTGAGAACGAAAAGTGCAACGAAAACGATCGAAAGCGATCTAACAGCAATCGCAAAAGCAAATCATCTCGAACTAGTGATAAAAACTATAGCAAAGTAAACGGAAAACGATATTACTCAACAAACGATATTACGAAACAATCAATTTTCTCCGTCCCACGGAATCGTAAATCTTTCTCCAATTCGATTTCCGATATCATTCTCGACAAAAATGTAAGGAAAAGATTTTATGCTAGCTGCAGCAACAACAAAAAAGATCAAAGACCTCCGTCTTATGGAAAACCAAAAATGAACAACAAAAAAGAGGAAAATTGCGAGACTAAGAAAAAGTGCGCGAAAAGTACTGTTAAATGTATGTCGAGAAAAAAGGCTACTGATAAGACGCAAAATTGTCAGTCTATGATAAAAGATATCGGGAAATTTTGCGAATCCAGTAAATCCCCCCACAAGGAATTTTGTGACGACAGAAAAAAAGAACTTAAAAGTGGTAAGATAAACTTAATTTAATATTATTTAGCTTAATTTAATTATAATTATTATACACAGAGTGTTTTGAGATCTCAGGGATAAGCTTTAAGGGATGATAGAAATCTTATCAAAAGAAACAACTTTTATTAAGGAACTTACATTCTCCCCGATGCATTGTTAAAGAGCTATGCATCCCTGTTTGTACCGGATGTGAGATACATAATTGATAGCGCGGCAGCATTACGTTCCTCTGATGATACTAATTTAAGTTTTTGCTTTTTTTATTATCTCTTTGAAAAAATAAAATCAAAGGATGTAAGCTGGTATTCAAATGGGTCAAATATAATGCGACCAGACGTGTAGCTCCTTAAAAATGTATCAGTTGACAGTTTCCTTAACAAAAGTTGATTCTTTTCATAAGCTTTACCAAGTTTGCGTCTAAGATCTTAAAACGTCCTGTACATTATATATTCTAAAATTTTTAGAGTGAATTGTTATTCTGAAAAGTGACACATCTCTCTTTTAAAAATAAAGATCTCAAAATCTTTAATTTTTTTTTGTATTATAATTTATAGAAATTCTTCAATTTTACGAAATTTTTAATTAATTATTTTTTTTGTTGTAGACGAAAAGCTTCAAAAAGAACCAGCGAAAGCACCACCATCTGTGAAAGGTAAATTGTATGAAAGAATTATGGATTTTTTAATTCTTTCTTATATTATGATTCATGAAAGAGGAGTAACTATACTAAATTCTTGTTGCAATAAATTCCTTTCCTTTAATTGTTCGTTGCAGAAAAGTCTATGAAAGAATTGATGAAGGAACAGATAGATCGCGAATTCAAAGAGATAAATGAATGCAAGAAGAACCTCACAAAAGACAAAAAATGCGATAAAGTCAAAATGATTTCCTCAGAAAAGCCGACGAGCTTGGATCGCATAATCAATTCATATAAAAAACAGGAAAAGCAGAATATTGAAAAGATTATAAGCACACGTAACGAATCAATCATTTCTATGGACGCCGTGTTTAAGTGGTTCAACATTCAATCTAGGATTATTAATGGCACGATTCCAATTATTGCCAAGTTAGTTCTCTCGCTTGGATTCTATTGGCAAACGCGTTTTCAAAATTTGAAGATTAAGTAATTCAGAAAGAAAAATATTCTTTAAAAATTTTATTTTTCCAATATTTTCTATTCTGATTAGTAATTTCTCTGATTTTTTTTTGTAATTTATGTTATCGAGATTATTCACATTATCTATTTTATCGTAACTATATATATACACTTGCGATCGATGATCATTTATTGCTGCAACAATGAGTTATTTCATACAACGTAATTATAGGGATGTCGGTCTGTTCAATATAATGTTTGATCGATCGTTCTCTACTGCAAAACTGGATTATCAGGATGATTTTGCTATCGGACGAACTATAAACGATGATAAAATAGATCAGAACTATTCTGCAAATGGCGACGATTTTGTTCATGGTGATGAATTGCCGAATTATGTTGAAATAGAATATGAGGATTACGAAGAAGATGACGAAGATCACTAACCGACCGGTCTCCAAAATCAATCGAATCTTATGCAAAGGTCACAGTAAATGTTAATTTAATATAAGTAGTAAAATAAAATTGTATTACAATTGTTTTACTTTGTCATAATATAATATCTTTGATGAATGTTGGTGATGTAATAAATAAAAAATTAAATTAATCCGACTTGTAATGTGACTGCATCTGTATTGTGTGTTGTTCTTTTCAAAATATGCACTTGAAAAATATCTGTGTTTTTTTTAAAGACAATGCCTGCAAGCACGCAATTTTCTTATGATACATATAAACATAACTACTTTCCCCACATATAAACATATAATGGCGTTAATAAATATACATTTACATACGAAGGTATCTCGTTTTCAGTCAAGAACATTGTGATCCTTTTGATTATACAGTAATCAATTACTTCACGACATTACTTCGCTATAAATAGTAGTTGATCATGCCCCAATAATACTTAACCAGATTTCACTTTGTAGACGATAAGATAAAATTACTCTTCAGCACGACTTGGACGATCGTCGATTACTCCCCGAGGGACAGATACGAGTCGAACGAGTGAAACGCAAATGCGGAGTCTTACGGGGGTTTTGCTCCTTCACGAGACGTCTTTGTAGTGCGACGGAGGCGTGAATGGCAGTGGGCCAGGAGGCCCAATTATGAGTTATTCAGTCTGCGCCACGGGGTATCTCGGTGCCGCTCTACCGTCGGTGTATGCATCTACCTGGCGCCTCCCCCTTCAACTCGCGTGAGAGTGAGAAAGAGCGAGAAAGAGCTGTACAAGCTGCGGGGACGCGAGACGGGACGACGGGGGTTGAAACGCGGGATATATGGGGTAGAGAACGTGAGGACGTCTCTGCGGGATTCCCTCCGCCACTTATGGGAATGCGATACGAGCTTTTCGTCGGATGCTCTCTTGCGTTTTCGCATTGTTACGCAACCGTCCTTCTCGCGTCCGCGTCACCCTCGTGCACTCCGACAAAGGGAATCAATGTCAATGCGCGCTGCCATGCTATGTACGCGCTCCGGAGAGGACAAGGAAAGTGAGAATGCTGAAATGATGATTGAGAGTATGTAATAAACGCGGATTAAAATCGTTATGTTATGCTATAACGATCACGCGAAGCGTCAATTCCGAGCCCTTTAAATTTGTCCAGCAAAATTTTTCGAATTCTCACCATTTTGATAATATAATCATTAGATTTGTGCAATTATTCTATATTTGTTATCATGTCTTTAATAAGAAATTAATTAGAGATTATTAATATAATTTGTGAAGTCATTGCCATCATTTCAAGCTTCTGTTCACTCACTGCTGTACTATATCGGATTGTGGCGTCAGAAACGAGAAGATATACAATAAAAATCTTGCAAAATATATTATAATAATATGGAAAAATGTTTCAGTAAAATAATACTTATAATCGATAAAACCGACTTGTAAAATACATACTGAAAACTTTCATTAATTGATAAAGAGCCACATATATATATTTAAAAATGTTGTTTAGCAAAAAACGAAATAAGTATAGACAGCTATGACAAACTTTCAAATTAATAATATATTAAAATAAATATGATTTAATTTTTATTACCTGAGATAAAAAAAGATTATTGGTTTCCAAATTATTTTTAATAAAATAATAAGTCTAATCTATCACAATTGCAAATGCAGTTTATTAAAAAATTTATTCTCATTAAAAAATTTCTTTTCATCGATCCAATTTCGTATTATAATTATTTATTGAAAAATATTTCTATTCAAACATAGTTTGCAAACATTTTTATCACGTGTTTTCTTGTTTTCGACGTCATATTCTGAGATAATAGTGATGGATAAATAGAAGCACACACTTCAATTATTTCTTAATTAGAACTGTACCTGCACTGATTTGATATTTTTATGGTGAGGATATAAACTATGCTTAAAGTGAAGAAAAACGCATATATCAAAGTTACATGATATTTTCATGTTTTTTAAATATATATAATCATATTATATTATTAGCTTCCTTCCGATCTCCCAAGTTGTGACTAATAATATCATACTATTAAATAAAAAATAAATTCAAAGTTTCCTTTACACTTTTCGATCGTCACTACCACAATTTCATTCATTTTAGCGAAACTGTCTATATCGTACTCGATCAGACATGCGAAGTAAAGTGACGGTAAGGACATCACAACGAATGCGAATCGGCGCAACTTATTGTCCCATCAGCAAGATCGAGCGATCGCGGCTCTTTAGAACGAATCGGGAGGGGTTTCTTGCACGTCACATTATGGTGTCAACGACTTCATCGTGGACCACAAACCGCTGGCATCCGTGTATCGAGAATGAATGGCGTCGCGACGGGTGGCAGGGAGGCGCATACAACTTGAATAAAATGTATCAATTCCGTCTTCATGACGCCGGGGTTCCTTTCCTCGAGGATCGATTGTGCGTTCCTTGAAGGAAGGAAGTTCCGCAACGGACAACGTCTATTATTAATGCGCGATGTTGTTCAATTATGCGAATTACAACGACGAAATAGGCTTAATAAATATTGTACATAACATAAGAATTTTGTTCATTATGCTTTCTAATGTTCATTTTTATCTACCAATGTGAATGAACATTAATTTCGATTTAATTTAATCTTTATCTTTTCAGAATTTTCAGAATTAGAAGAAAAGTTAATTGAAGTTAGCATTTTTATAGGACGAGAAAGTCGTTGCAGTGGTACTAAAATATTATATTTTGAAGCAAGAAATACTATGAAAATAATTACAACGAATGTTATTCAGAAAATACTATAAGATTTAAAAATAAACCCTGTTCTTTAAAGGTTAGTCGGTAATATATTGATAAAAAATGAATTAACTGAAAATTTTTTCTTAGATCTTAAGCAATTATAACTTTGTTTCGAATCTTTTATATTAATAACAGTATTAACACACATATATGCTCACACGCGAGTGCAGAGGAGATTAGATATAACATAGGCATATTATAGTCGCTTGATAGTCGTTCATTTAAAGATATACATACTATATCCGGCACTACATCGTCGTCGGTATATCACGATGGAAATGAAATTCTGCAATACACGATTTATTCGATTACAATCACACACACACACACAGATCTCCTTTCATATTTTTACTGTTTACTATGCATTGTTTAACACATTACATACACAAAGAGAGGGACAAATGTAAGAGACAGGTGCATCGTCAATGCATCTTCGTAATGCAACTTATGATGCAATCGCAATGCGAAA